GGGGGTCTGGTTTTAAGATTGTGTGAGTTATTCCAAAGCCGTTTTAAGTGGATCGTTCTTTGTGGAAAATATTACACCGTGGTTAACTTATTTGGCTAGAACTTGCAGCAACTGTTGATAATTGTCATTTTTTCTGTTCCTTTCTCGGAAGTTTTCCTCAGCGGTAGCGTGTGCGTACAATTAAGTAATTTTCCTTCCTTTGCTCTCTGGCCTTCCTTTAAGAAATTCACGGGGAACGACGTGAAATAAGAAATATGCTGTGCTCTCTCCTTTTTGTGTGCAGTGGGAACCTGTTCAGAAAAGTACCTAAGCTGACATAAGATCCGCACACAAACGAATTCGCGGATACGAATTTCACCCTATTCTTGAACAGTCCACCGACGATGCAATCAATCTTTGTCAGGTTTAAAAAGAAAAAGTAGATTTCTTTCGAGTCGGTTCTGCGCTTCGAAAAAGAACGAATGTTGCAGATGCAATAGAATACAAAAACCGAAGGTACAAAATCTAGAAGCAAAACATACAAACCTTATCGGCGTTTTTCGTAAACAAGAAACGACACGACTTGAACTTGGAAGCCAACTGAACTAAAACTAACCGTGCAAGGTACAAAATCTGCATAATGAAGGATGTTTGAGTGTCTAAGAGTCCCTTGTGACCTAACGCTTGGTAGTCCGTGCATCCAACGAAAACAAAGAAAGAAAAAACAACTACCAAAGAAAAAGATGTTAATGCACATACCGTAGTAACAGCCAAGCTGAGATAAGATCGTGTGTATCGACTTCCTTGCTCAAACTGTTGTTATTCAAATCGAAGCCAGGAAATGTGCGTGCAATACGTGCAGAGGCATCCTTCACGAATCATACCACTGTTTAGAGATTTCTTTCGTCACATGAAAATTAAAGAGGCCGTTTACGCTTTATCCTTTTCTCAGTTGTTTTCTGCTTTAAATTGAAAACTATACTATGGGTCTAGTTCTTTAATATCATTATTTTAGTAAAATCGCGCGAATGGACAAAAGTTCAATCACCGACACATGCATATTAACAATCGCCTGGCAAACTATAAAAGCTTCCACACTTGATAAGTCATCGGGTTATGCCTGGCAGGTAAAATTGAAATTATTAAAAATAGATGGATTATTTGACTGGCTTAGTTTATTCGGATTTTAATTTTTCTATTGTGGCTCAATGCTTAAGACTCTTACAGCGCAGCAGAGACGTGCGGATAGGGACTGTAACCAAGACGACTGAACTGGTGTGGCATGCGCAGTGAAACGATGTGGCAAGGCGCGCGCACATACACTGTTTTGTGTTTGGCGGATACGATTATTACGTGAGCAAATTGGAGTTTGCGGTTGAACGGTCGTATTATGTGGATTTTGTGTCTGTGATACCATTTTAATGGTGGTTTTTAATTTTTGTGATCTACTAGTGAGCCACAGAAACAGGCCATTATTAGGTTCATTTTTATGACGTGTCCTGTGAATTGTTACGATATCCATGTCGAAAGTGTCGTGTGAGGGAGCAGATTAAGAAATGAAGATCAGTCATTTTGAGCTCGTTAATGCAATAAAGAAGCAGATTGATCACAGAGCTGCTCAATCAAGAGAGAGCTCGGGTTATCAGTCAATTATACTCAATTTCCCGCCATAACAATCGGTTGATCAATGACGTCAGCACCAGATTGCTTCATTACCTTCTATGACATCATAATCACTTCTCGCTTTGGTTTCTGTCAGCAAGGGAGCAGATTCATTGGGAGATGTGAGCTTGAATTTGGGAAACTGATTTAAAAAATAACGTAAGAAGATGAACAAATGACGAATAAGGTGTAAACCTGTTACAGCGGTGGGCGAAAGCTCCGATGCGAGTCATGATGAAGAGCGCGAAAAATGGACCTCGAAAAATGATTTCATAGCGTCATGTATCGGTTATGCTGTCGGCCTGAGGAATTGGCGTTTTCCGTACCTTTGTTTCAAGAACGGTGAAGGTAACTTCCCTAAGTGTAGATATCTATCACGGCCCTTTTTTAGGAGTGTAAGTTAGGTTTGCAAGAGCGCACTTTTCAGAGTTGCAAAATTCTTGCAACTCAAAGAAGTTGTATCGTGACATGCAATGTCAGATTTTGTGCCTCGAAAAACTTTCTTTAATTCGAGGGAATCTACCAAACTTCTGTTTAGTAAGACACGCAAACACAAAAGAGCCAGGCAACAATGAAATCCAAAAGTAACAAGGCTGAAAAAGATTGACAAGGATTATAAATGACTGCAGAATAATAGTATGAGAAAATAGAAGTAACGATAAGCCAAGAAGAAAGATGGATGACAAAACTGGAGAAGACTACAAATGACTACAGAATATAAGTTCGGTAAGATAGGAAAACATTAAAAGAGGTGACAAGTAACCAGAGGGGAAAAGGATGGGTAAGGATGGAGAAGATTAATACCGATTGCAAATGAATAGAAAACACTCAGGAGCCAGTGAATAAATCAAGTGGAACATGGATAGAGGAGATACAGAAACGAACTGCGCTCCATCGCTTGCAAAAACGATTGCGGTGAAGAAACACAGTTAGGTTGACTGCATTTGTTGTATCTGCAAAGAACCAAAGACGAAAGACCGATAAAAAATTTCAATAGACGCCTTAAGGGACGCACACGCGAAAAGATAGGTTCAACAGGTTTTAAGCAGGAAACCGACGACTTGTAATAGGGAAATTCAAGAATTGTATCGTTTCAATGGATACAAAGCCCTAAAGTCGTGAGCCAAAGGGTTTAACAAGCAGAAACAATTTATGTGCACGTGAGTCGGTAGATTTTCTTGACTTCCTCTACAAAACAACGGTGAAGTAAAATGACTAACATCAGCGTCGATTGAAAAACGTTGGACACATCCCCTGTCTTTCTGAAGAAACTTCGAAAGAGTGGTTGATCTAAATATTTATTTTTTCTCAGAGGATACGGTAACGAATCTGGCAATCCGATTGGTTCTTAGCGCAGTCTGCATTTTCTAATCGCTGTCCACAGCCACGGTAACGCTTTCGTGAGTCACCGCGAACATCCGTAGCTTCGTTGCCATTCATAATTAAATTTTATTTTTCCAGCTAGGCATCATTTTTAAGCAAAGTATTTTTAAGCAAATCAAGTAGATTGATAACTTATTAATCGTCTCTTTTCTTACTCTCAAATCACTTTGGCTGCCAGCAGAAAATTGTTTTCAAAATGAATTTGTGGTAGCAAATGATTATTCCATTAGTCCTCTGTACCAACTCTCCTTACCCTTCTGCTACATCTATATTTCAATTATTAGCTATTTCAGAACCCGTTATATGAGAGACTACCCGACTTGTGGGATATTCCATGTTTTTTGTGAACAAAGTTCAAGAAACTTGTACCTCAAGTCTAAGGTCGGAGTTTTTAACCATAGGGATTCTCCCTTAGCCAGTTAATAGCTTATCGTTACTCTCTCTTTTTTCTCAGTGCATGAACGGGCGGTGTTTTACAATTTTGTAATCTGATTGGTTTTAGGAGCGGGCGATATTCTCCCATCCGACACACACGCACACACACTCGCCTTGTTTAAATCTGTGCATTTGATTAAATCTGTGCATTTGATTAAATCTGTGCATTTGATATTGTGGCCTTCCTATCGGTAGCATCTGCTTGTATTCACTCAAAATCTGTCGGTTCACTGTATGGATTGAGTATGTCAGAGGCCAACTATTGCTTCACGGATATAATTATTGATATTGGCGTTGAACGAGAAGGCATCGATGCAGCAACTCCCGGCTCTGGCCTTTGCAATGATAGTGCTTTAGCATCGAAGGTTCTTGGCAATTTACGGTGATTTTGCGCTGGGCATTACCTCCGGGTTTCTAACAAAGCTGTACAGACAAACCGAAGTTTTGCTGCTGAACAAACAGAATGTGGAACTCTTTATGAACGAACGAAAATGAGTTATGAACGAACACGCGCCCCTTATAGAGAGAGCCTCGATAATATCAATCAGATTCAGAAGGCAACATGGAAATTCCAAAGTTGCCCTACTGAAAATTGTCAATCTAATTAAACTGTCGACGAATGGATGACTATCACCCAGCCCAGCCTTTGTATGCTAGTACTCTCATTGGAAGACAACATTCGTGCAAGAGATTTTATAAGTCATCACGGTACCTCGGCTACGAATAACAGTCCACGTTCGACTTCCTACTTAAGCGTGAAAACAAAGGGACATAAAGTCGAAAGGCCGATGGCCGTGTTACGCGGGTTACAACAATTGAAGAAGAGATCAGAATAACAAGAAAGATAGGATGCTTTACTCCGAGAGGAGGAGCACTGGCCACATTGAAATAACTATACTCAAAGAGCAAATTTATGGAAGTTGACTCTGACAATGAAAGTACTCCAGCTGAGAGCAAAAAAGGGGATAGTACACCGTCGTTGTAAACCAAATGCGTTGGAAAGAAATCTTTCAAAGATGGCCGGACAGAAAAAGACGATGCCTCCCGTTGTAGTTCACCTACTAGGAGATTTACCTTCTTCGGTCAACATGAACGGATGTTGAACCCTACCCCTGAATGGTTTGCTAAATCTTCTAAGAGAGGCATTTACACGTCCGATGCAAGTCTTGGGCAATTTTTCTAACGACTCTAACAACAGCAGCAGCAGGTGATTTAGTTTCGTCAACAACCGCTTCAATCGTGTCAATTTTTTATTATTTGGCGTCACCTATGGATAGCTCACTTTTGATTCTTCATCATTCTAGCGTCCCCTACAAACACTATTACTATTCTTTTTGTTTCGGAAAGAGACACTGCGCAGCATAAGCTAACTAGGTATGTGCTGCACATAAAGAGTGTTACTTTGAGCCATTTTGGTCTAAGAACAAGCATTGATATTAAATTTTGAGGATTTAAATTTCTAAGCCCAGGACTTAGCACTTGTTAGTGTCCTGATTGTTTTTTCGTTCTCGCCTAAAAGATCAAATACTGTTCACCTAACCAAGAAAAATGAAATGTGTAATTCAATCCCAAGAGAACGTTTGCGTATAAGTTCAATTTTCGAAGTAACATTCTCCTTCAGGAAAGAACCAAGGGCCCGGATATAGATACGGCTGCCACCCCAGAAGAACAGGTCCTTATGACATAGACATTTAACGGTTGCTATGGTACCTATTATGATTTAGTGTATTTCAAGGTGGTTATAAGTGAGAACAGGAACGATGCAGAAAATTATAACAGACTACTTTACGCTTATCTTGTGAATAACACTCTTTTAGGGTCTTGCGAATACAATTTAATTTTTTAGCTATTGGAAGAAATTCAACCAATCAGAAAAGCCGACTTCATTAGGTTGAATAAAAGTGAGCACGTCATTCCCAGGGTCTCTCATTTTAAAAAATTGAAGAGAGAAACTGGAAACGAGGCTGATTGATGACTACTCTCCTCTTCGTAGAGGTGACGAGATTTTTAAAATCCTCTCCATCTCTTTTCTTTAATTCCTGAATTAATGAGATATAAATTTAATTAATAAACATTCTTCTGCAGGGTTTTTACTCTCATTTTCTCCTCTACTAAACCGTCTTATCGAAAGAAAAACCCTGTAGAAACGTGAATCTTTTCATTTCCGTGTTCACTCTCTCCTTCTGTTTGGTAGTCCACTTTACATAGTCACGTGTTATTGAAGGAGTTGGGTCCACAGTGTCTGCACAGTCTTGTAGATATTTCTCAGTGCATAAGATCCCTAGGAACTTGCAGATCTTTCTCAGAACCTCTGCGGGATGAAGAACAATTTCTATGCTTGGAATATCAAGAACGCTTCCAGGAAGAGCCTCTCTTGCTTTGTTACTTCCCTTGGCCCACTTGAAATAAGCGTCTATTTTGTCATCAAGTATTTCAGGAGCTTCAATCTGCTGAAAGTAATTTGAGACAGTTCTGCATTGTAAGAGTTTTCAGAGTTATTCGTTGTGCTGATCAACAGAAAAAAAACACCCACGGAGTAGACTACTCCCGTGCCAATTTCTCATTTTTCAGCCGTTGTAATCTCATTTGAGACGCATCGCCATAAGACCACTAATTTGGAAAAACAAAACGAAGTTTTAGAGTGCTTAGTTACACTAAATGTTCCATTCTGTAAGCGGCAAGTGGAAAAGTAGTTTCAACTTGAAATAAATAACCCGAAAAGCAATTTCCTAGGTTATTTAGAGACGTTAGTAAAAGTGAGAATGGGGAGGCCACTATCTTAAGCTTAGCGAGTAAGTTCAGGAGCCTGATGCATCACACACTATCAGTATTTATGCAAATTACCACTTGCAACCTTTTAAATTAGTTATCAGCTCGTCTTAAGGTCGTGAGATTATTCTTAGATATGATTTCTCAGTTTCGCTGCAGTCGCCAGCAACAAAGTGGGGCAAGTGGTTTGTGTCAGATCAAGAAAACCTCTGTTTGGGCCGGGTCGCACTGAAGTAAATTCACATAATTTCCACTTTTTCGCAAACCAAAATTGGCGGGGTCGTATCAAACTAATATTCTTAGACCAGAGCTTCACTGATTGAATCATACGTCAATCACAAACCCAACTCGTTCTAAAGCAAAGTAGAAAAAAAACCTCGCACGAATTGTAACAGAGGAACGGATCCTTTTTTCCTACTGATCTTTTGCGTTTTGGTTGACACTTGCGTTACTTGTGCTGGCTTCAATACATGCTACGGAAGAAGAATTTCTCGTTGAAGACATATTTTTCCAAATTGCCGCCAGTCTAACCGAACTTTAACATGAATGCTTGTTTAGCCAAAATGTTTGTTTGGCGAAAATTTGGCGACTTACAAAAATTTGGCAAGTTTTTCTAATCGAATGTTTCAGCAAAAAAAAGTGTGGATATTGATTGTGGAAGAATTTTCAACCTGGATTCCCGGCAAACTTGCAGCATACGCTGTCTCCATTAGCTCCCTCTTTTCACACAAACAATAGATTGCCCATTTTGCGCCGTAAGGAGTATGGGAAAATTTGTGGGCAATACCTCATTAAACTGAATTCAGTTCTTGTTCTCAGTATCCTTTTGTTTATTTTTGAGCGGAGATTGTCTCTCCAGTTTGGCCTTGTGTCGACATATGAATACGGCCATTAATAACGTGCCTTTTTAAAAATACCCTTCAGAGAGGGTGTTGTAAAACCGTCGTATTGCTGGGCTGTTGTGAATAGAGGGATAAAAAGAGGACTAACAAAACGCCATCTGCAAAGACTTCAATCAGCCTTGAAAGAACAAGGCCAAATCTCACTTGAAGTTAGTGGATCCTCCTCAAGCTTTTTTCATTTGGCAAACCTTATCAGTGTTTATCATATCTTCCTTGCCAATAAGCAAAGCTCCAATTATAACACATGAACACGAAAAGTTATCGCAAAAAAGATTTCGCGTTAAGAAAATTAGGATTGAAACAAAAACATGTTTGTGATCGACAGGGCTATGACTGAAAATTATTACAAACTCTCACGATCACATCGGAAACAACTTTGTAAGGTAACAACATGATTTCGAGAGCAATTTGGAATCTTAGAAATATGTGCAAGTGCTTATTTACACCAAATTGCTCGAGCAATCAAAACTATAAAAAAATTCTTGATTGTGATTGATTATCACCAGCCCGATTTGACCACTAATAATATACATGGAAAAATTACTCAGTTTTGATTGGTTATAACAAATGCAGTTTTCAGGTAATTCAGTGCAGAAGAGAGTTAATTCAGTGCAGAAGAGGGTTAATTCAGTGCAAAGAAAGAAACAAATCAGACATTCTGATTGGTCAATAATCAAAGAAACTCGCAGATAGCCAATCAAATGCGAGCCTTGGATGTCGCAACAAAATTTGAAAATTTGCGAGCGAAACAATGGCCGGCATTTTAAGTAGGTTTTCTTTCACCACCACAGCTGAAAAACAGCTTAAACAACGAAAAGCACTGCTTTTTGGTTGTCCGTATGGAAAAAGTGGTGTTTAGAGAAGGGAATTGCCGAGGAAATCGAAAATTACGAGCCGACCCAGCTTAGCGCTTTGCTCGAGCGATCCAACGCCGAAATTTAAAACAAACATGGTTAAACCTCGGAAACGACGATTCCATTTCATCGAAAGTGATTCGGACACAGACTGGACAATTCCTTGAACTGTTTAGCCGGACTTTGAACTTTTTTGCACCTTAAAGATGTGAAGATATCATTGCATATTATTGTTTTGATCGTACGCATTTGTTTTGACCGAACGCACGGTTTGAATAAATTATTTTTTGTACTTCATGCGCGCGCTTTGCTTATGTTTAATTATGATAGACTATCTCGTATTTTTCCATGTATATTATTAACACGTAATCACACGATTTTTCTCGTGCAATTTGGAATAAACAAGCACTTGTTAATTTTTTCAAAGACCACAAATTGCACTCGCCCTACGGGCTCGTGCAATTTTGTTAGTCTTTGAAAAAGTTTACTAATGCTTATTTATTCCAAATTGCACTCGAAATCATGTGATTACCTATACTTATATACATGGAAAAATTACTCAGTTCTGATTGGTTAAGATGAATGCAGTTTTCAGGCAATTCAGTGCAGAAGAGATTTAATTCAGCGCAAAGAAAGTAACAAATCAGACAGTCTGATTGGTAAATAATCAAAGAAACTCACATAGCCAATCAAATGCGAGCCTTGGATTTCGCAACAAAATTTGGAAATTTGAACATTTGCGAGCGAAACAATGGCCGGCGTTTTAAGTAGGTTTTCTTTCGCCACCGTAGCTGAAAAACAGCTCAAACAACGAAAACATTGTAAAAAGCACTGCTTTTTGGTTGTCGGTTCGGAAAAAGTGGTGTTTAGAGAAGGGAATTGCCAAGGAAATCGAAAATTACGAGCCGGCCCAGCATAACAACATAACAACGTAACACAACGCCGAACAAACATGGTTAAACCTCGGAAACGACGATTCCATTTCATCGAAAGTGATTCGGACACAGACTGGACAATTCCTTGAACTGTTTGGGCGGACTTTGAACTTTTTTGCGCCTTAAAGATGTGAAGATATCATTGCATATTATTGTTTTGATCGTACGCGGTTGTTTTGACCGAACGCACGGTTTGAATAAACTATTTTTGCTCTTGATGCGCACGCTTTGCTTATGCTTAATTATGATTAGCGATCTCGTATTTTTCCATGTATATTATTAACACGTAATCACATGATTTTTCTCGTGCAATTTGGAATAAACAAGCACTTGTTAATTTTTCAAAGACCACACAAATTGCACTCGCCCTACGGGCTCGTTCAATTTTGTTAGTCTTTAAAAGAATTTACTTGTGCTTATTTATTCCAAATTGCACTCGAAATCATGTGATTACCTATACTAATCACATGAGGCCAAGTACTATTAAGGATTAATTGCACGAGAGTTTTCAAAATTTTCCAAAATTGCCCGAGTCGCGAAGCGACGAGGGCAATTTGGAAAATTTTGAAAACTCAAGTGCAATTAATCCTTAATAGTACGAGGTCTCATGGGATTACTTATTTATCAATAAAGGGCAAAATTTATACGAAGGAAAATCACGCGCGCAGTCTATTTTTAACAAATTTCAAGATAACGAACGGTTGCTATGCAACGGATTGGCCAATCATTAACAGGTAATCATGCCCTCTCTTGATTACTAAAAATGCCCTCGATTAAGGAAAAATGCCCTCTCTCTCAACCAATCAGCGCTCAGTAATTTTGCCCTTTATTGATAAGGAGATATAATGGGCCAAACTTACCCCATTTATGCCTGTACTGGCTCTAATCACGCGCTTCATTTCATCTGTTCTCGGTAAATTTTGCTGCAGCTGGAAGCAAAGGTTTCAAAGTAACACTTGAAACAGTCTTTATAGGTAGAACGTCTCGAGCATATGAAACAATTTGATATATAATTTTTGTGAAAATTACGCAAATTTAAGCGACATCGACGTAAAACATTCCTCAAGTCGTTCCCTTCAAGGTCATAATTTGCATCCTCAAGTAACGGGCTTTGTGCACACTTTTAGTTTTATCTTTTTTTTCCTTCGAAGAATTTTTGATATGAAAAAATAGGAGAAATCATGTTGTTACTTGTTCATGAAATGGACACGAAAAAATGTGCATAAAAACCGTCGCAGAACGTCAAGACAGACGAAATTTTAAAGCGCGTGCGCTATTTGTATTTGCACTCGCGTTAAAACTGCACTCGTGTTATATGAGAATGCACTCGTTTTCAGCAAAACAGAAGCGCGTAATTTCTTCATGTATATTATTATGGTTAGAACTGAAGCTTGCGTTAAGGGAGTGTCGTTTTGATTGCTCACTGGTGAATTTGTTCCTTATCTTAACGCGGATTGCTGAACCCACCTTTAAACGACTGTCATAATTATTTTCAAACACTGTACATCAAAGGAAGTGGAATTAAAGTAATTGAAATGTTATCTCACCTTGACTTCGTGGCTCCCTTCACGCTGTTTGATTTTACCATGCTGTAGAACCATGGTCGCAATATTGTCAAATGGATTTCTTACGACATGAATGAACTTCACCTTAGCAGCGGCAGTTTTCTCTAACAGGCGTACAGCGTCAATAGCATCGTCGTTAAGCATTGCGGAGGCCGTAAATGCACCTGCTTTGTCTCCAATCACCTTAGTACGGAAAAGGAAACTTGATAGAGTTCTGGATGAAATGCATACCACTAGGCGCAAGTAGGCATTTATAATCATTTTATAGGCATTGTTCCGCTCTCTTTTCTCGGAAGACCGTTCAAAGTTACCACCGGTGGACTAAAAAAGTACCCGGATGTGTCGCAGCATTCTGCGCGATGAGGAAAAAATTGCGCATATAGGCAGAGAGATAAACAAGTTGGTCAACCCCGCTTCGAAAAGCATCAGAGCTAGTCTACTAAGGAACCAGTTTAATCATCTCTGAGGCCCAGTACAGACGTCGAACTCCTCTTGAGACGAACTCTATGGCAATTTTGGTCAAACCCTAACTGCCGGGTTAAGTTCGACCATTGAACACAATTCTTTGAACCCAATTTAGAGCCGCAAAAACGAATATCTCGATCAGCAGGATTTCAAATAAAGTTTTGAATTAAGTTTGTTTCATGAAAAAGATCGAAGTTTGTCCCACAGTCGATCTTCACACGTTTTATCCATCCAAAGCGAAAAGTGTTGGTCAATCCAAAGTTCAGTTGGAAGAATTAAACTGATTCTAACGTCGAAACTTAAGATGTACTTACTTCTCTCAGTTTAGCCAAGTGAAGTTCGACATTTGAACTAGATCTAGTTGTCAATGATATTAATTATGGCGTCTAAGATAGGGATTAAAACAGAATTTGAGTTACATCAGGTAGATTTTAGGTTCCGCGGCTTACCTCAATGTATTGATCAAATCTTCCTTGCCACTGGTTTGGTACCATATATCCATACCTTGAAGCCTTGTTTGTGACATTTCCTTCGAAGGTTCTTGACCGTCTTCCCGAGGAAACTGATTTCTCTGAAGCTTGGAACATAATATCATAAAATTTGTATATTGAGCTGTCGATGAATGAGCTAGACCTTCTTCTCCATGCGTTGAAAGCCATTCTTTCGTCAGATACAACCATGCGCGGATGGGCATCCATTAGCGAGCCTAGAAGACTGTGACGACTACGTGGATAACCAATGAAAAACACGATGGTGTGCACGTGACCATAAGCTTTGTACAAGTCATTTGTTGAAACTGGATGATCTGCATTGTGACCTGGATCTTTAATATGAATTGGTAACTTATATCAGTAAAAAGTAAGCAACTTCTTGCGATCACAAACTTGAAAAGTTGTGTAAAATTTTATGAGCCAGCTGCAATTTCCAATTCAAAAGCTTTCCTGACTAATGGAAATACTTGCGACATTATTCATGTCATATTATGTCATTTGCCAATGTTTTTTTCCCCTGACACTACGATAACAGTATTTTTAAGTCCTTCTTGAATCTAGACATCGTCTCGCTGAACACACGATATAATCTTTCTTTTTTTACGCGTCCTGAAAATGAGCGAAGACCCAACCAAAGAAAGTAAAAAACTCGTTTCATACGCAAAGTACCAAGGGACATGGAACCGCTTTAACGGTGGTATGAATGACTAAACTGTAGTTATTTCACTCTCAACGACCAGTTGACTGCAGACTGCGATACCAGCTACTTAGCCAGAAAGTTTGCAGTGATAGACATCGCAATTGGTATTCCAGCCTCCTCTTACTTCCTGACTCGCTCAGTAAAATGTTTTCTCCATTTCGCCACTCGCGTTTTGGATCGTTTTATGGTAGCCTACTTCGTCTTTCTGGGCAGTTCAATAGCTATTCTTCGATGCGTTAGCGTTCAACACAACAAAAACGTTAGAAAATAATCGAAATTTTTGAGCGCAAAATTTGGCTTGCTACGCGGCCGAGGGCTCTCTGTTTTTTAAAATTCACTAATTCCCGAGTACGTGGATTTCATTTCACACAAATCTACTGAGCAACATCTATGAATTATGCTCACAAATAAATTAAAAAGCATGAATGTTGTAGTTGCTCTAACCACATCAGCTAAAATATACTCAATTTTCGGCCAGGAAGACAGGAACAAAGACAAATTTGACAAAGGAAAATGCCTGAACAACTCCTTACCGTCTATTCTTGTTTCTCCCGTAGTTTGCTGTGTTTCCAATTTCTCCCTTCCGAATTCATCCTTTTCATTTTCCGTTGACGGTTTTAGTGACGTGATATCACGATCTCCATACCATAATAACTGTCCTTTGAATGAATATGATGACAGGGCGATCAGCGGGTAAAGAAAACAAAATCGAAGGTGAACTATGGCGATAGTCTTAGCGACAGTAAGAGTTTATCACAGAAAAAGTAAGCTCTCAAGTTAGCTGTTAACAAGACAATATATTAACAGCATTGCAGTTAACACGACGGCGTTTCTTATCAAGAGCAATGTACAGAGACTGAGACAGACATTCTGTACAGTGACTGAATGTGGTACATTTCTGACATGTGGCAGATATTTGAATGAATATGTCAAGTTGATGTACTAACAACTTTCCACAAACAAAAGTACGCTATTCTAAAGGTGACTGGCAAAATTAGTCAACTTTTGTTCAGGCTATACCTCTATTGTTTTAGATGATAGAGACGATTTTCATGCAATGAATGGCTAACTAAAGAACTTTTAGCACAGAAGGCAGATAAAATTTCAGGCGATAATCATTGGAACAGTGATTCTATCTTCCATACCAGAGCTCGCCAAGGGTCCTGACTGATACTTTATGTGAGTGTATTTGTCGCTCCACACAATAAAAAGTCCTGCCAATGCCAAGCCAATAACTGTACCCAAAAGAACTCCGCGTGTGGCCCTGGAACTGGGCATCTTCAGTACCTGTTTCTCACAATAATGATTTTGATGAGAACCAGTTTACTGATTTACTCATAAAAACCCTTAAAAAGTTCTGTTTGCCACCATGTATCTCAGTGAGATGAAGATTTTTCACTCTCTGTCACTCGAAATTGATGCCTATAAGTTGCTCTTTGATTAAAAAATACTTTGATATCATTGAGAAACTGACCAATCATTGCCGAAAAA